AAAAAAAAAAAAGAAAGAAAGAAAGTGAAATAATTCCAAAATATGTCCAAACAAATCTGCTTTATATGTCTAGAAATAAAAGAATACCCATTTAAATATAATAGTTTCAAATTTTTGTACATAATTTTGTCTATACAGACCTTAAGATCACATAACATTCCAACAATCAGAACTTTTAAAAATATATGAAATGTAGACAGTATCTGGTTATAAAAGATTTTAATATCAAATAAAATGTACATGACCAAAAGCCTTTGATTGCCATGTAAAACAGTTTCCAGGTTACATCAAGTGACTTTATCTTCTCCCATTTCAAATGAAATGTTAACAGCATAAACAATTTGCAATGAATGTAAGAAGCAAAGGCAGTACATATCATCTGCAAGTTTCTTCCAAAGCTATAAAATATCATGTTCATATTTTTCTTGTTTGTGATCTCAAAACAGGCAATATTTTCATTTCATCCACTCTGTTCTTATGTATTTGAAAAGCAGGTGTTATCCACCTACCACACGAGCACTGTTCACCATACCAGTTGAAGGAACCCAACTTGGCACTGCATTTTGGGCAAAGAAGCTGAAATAAAGCAAATGTGTTACTTTATTCATTCACTTTTATACAAAACAAATCATTATCTCTGGCAATCAATATAGGATATAAAAACAAGACACAGTCCCCACCTTGAGTTTATAATCTAATCAGTGAGATAAAATGCATTGGAAATTTACTGTAATAGATAGTAGACTACAATTATTGCATAGGAAGAATGTTGTATTCAGGGAGCTTGAAGGGAGAAAGGAAAGCTTATGATTTGATTAAGGAAGGTTTTGTGGATGTGGCATATGTATATATAGCTTTTAAATCAGGTTGTAATTTAGGATTTCAAATGAAAATCGTCATGGCTAAAGTACAGAAAAGCATGTTAGGATTTTCATGCTGTATTACTAATTGTATGTATTGACAGCATATAAGTCAGTTTCTTAGCTATTTAAAGACAAACTGATATTCCAGGAAAATAGATAAATCAAAAAAAAGCCTAATAAGACAACTGCATTTTCTTCTAATGTAATTAGTTATAGCATTATTTTTTATGTTTAGCTCTTTGATTTGTGCATGGTATAAGGTAAGAGTTTTTATTTTTAACATTGAGCTATAGAAAACTAGACATAAAACTCAGAAGTGGGCTGAGTGCGGTAGCTCACACTTGTAATTCCCAGCACTTTGGGAGGCTGAGGCGGGCAGATCACCTGAGGTCAGGAGTTTGAGACCAGCCTGGTCAACATGGTGAAACCCCGTCTCTACTAAAAATACAAAAATTAGCTGGGCATGGTGGCAGGTGCCTGTAATCACAGCTACTTGGGAGGCTGAGGCAGGAGAATCACTTGAACCTGGGAAGTAGAGGTTGCAGTGAGCCAAGATCACACCACTGCACTCCAGCCTGGGCAACAGAGCGAGACTCTGTCTCATAAAAAAGAAATTCAGAAGCCATAAATAAAAAAACTAACACATTTTATTATGTAACTATCCTTCATTTTAATATGACAAAACATATAAAAAATCTGATAAGCAATAGACTGAAGAAAATAGTTGCAATATATTAGATGAACTATTAACATCTAGAATATATAGAGTTCCTACAAATGAGTAAGAGACAAAACCCATAGACAAATGGGCCTAGGAATATGAGAGCAGTTTATAGAAAAGGAAACTGTAAATGGCTGGTAAATACATAAAGATGGTGGTTGATGACTATTTTCATAAAATTCCAATTAAACATTTTAGGATTAACATTTTTTACCCCACAGATTGACAAAATGTTAACAGTTTTACAGTATCTATTATGTCAAGGATATGGGGTAACAGGTACATGCATTCAGTTACTGAAAACCAAATTTGTATGGGCATTTTGAATATCGGCCTGGAATATCACTAATATTTAAAATACATTCTTCAAGCCAGGAATTCCACTTCTAGGTATATATTCTACAGAAAAAAAATCAAACATGTATACAAATAAGTATGCACAGGATTTAGAATCTCACATAAAAATGTATTTAACTTGGTTGGAATATGTGTGTGTGTTTCCCAGGTTAAGTAAAATTAGAAAGCCACAATCGCAAGCCACCAAAAAGAAAAACTGATAAATTAGATATCACCAAAATTAAAATCTCTAACTGCTACAAATAATACCATCAAGAATGGGAAGTGAGGCTTCGCGTGGTGGCTCACGCCTGCAATCCCAGCACTTTGGGAGGCTGAGGCGGGTGGATTACCTGAGGTCAGAAGTTCGAGACCAGCCTGACCAACATGGAAAAACCCCGTCTCCACTAAAAATACAAAATTAGCCAAGTGCAATCCCAGCTACTCAGGAGGCTGAAGCAGGAGAATCACTTGAACCCGGGAGGTGGAGGTTGCAGTGAGCCAAGATTCTGCCATTGCACTCCAGCCTGGGCAACAAGAGCAAAACTCCGTCTCAAAAGAAAAACAAACAAAAAAAAGAATGAGAAGAGTAGGAATGTGAATTGTGATGTGATATGGTTTGGTTCTGTGTCCCCATCCAAATCCCATCTCAAATCAAATTGTAATCCCCACGTGTGGAGGAAGGGAGGTGACTGGATCATGGAGGCAGATTCCCCCATACTGTTCTTGCCATAGTGAATGAGTACTCATAAATTTTGATGGTTTTTAAGTGTTTGACAGTTTCAACCTCACACATGCTTCTCTCTCCTGCCACCTTGTGAAGAAGAGGTCTGCTTTCCCTTCCACCATGATAATAAGTTTTCTGAGGCCTCCCCAGCCATGCAGAGCCATAAGTCAATTAAACCTCTTTCCTTTATAAACTACCCAGTCTCACATACTATCTTTATAGCAGTGTGAAAATGAACTAATACATGACGGTTGCAAAAAACACCATGAATACACTTTAAAAACCACTGAATTGTACACCTTAAATAGGTATATTGTATGTATGTGAATTATACTACTATAATAAGGCTGTTTTTTAAAAAGCAGCATCATCTGAAAATGTGAGTTTGATCATAGGGTACCACTTTCTAGGCAAGACACTACTCATAAACAGTTTCCTGGCCGGGCGGGCGCGGTGGCTTACGCTTGTAATCCCAGCACTTTGGAAGGCTGAGGCGGGCGGATCACGAGGTCAGGAGATCGAGACCATACTGGCTAACGTGGTGAAACCCCGTCTCTACTAAAAATACAAAAAAATTAGCCAGGCCTGGTGGCATGCGCCTGTAGTCCTCGCTACTCCGGAGGCTGAGGCAGGAGAACGGGCGTGAACCCAGGAGGCGGAACCTGCAGTGAGCCGAGATCGCGCCACTGCACTCCAGGCTGGGCAACAGCGCAAGACTCCAACTCAAAAAAAAAAAAACAAAAACAGTTTCCTCATGCATAACGTATGAATATAACTGCTCTACCTATTTTATAAAGCTATGGCATTCTTCAAATGGTATAATATAGTGAAAGGGTTCATAAAATAGCCACTATACAAACTTTTATACAAACCATACAAACTTTCAAAATCATTATTATAATTATTATTATAGAATACCTTCACATTAATATCAAGTAAACCTAAAGGAGAAATGTGGCTGTCATGGCACACTCCCACCAAGTTAAACACTTTTTTATGTAAAATGTCACATGAACTGCATTCTTTGTTTTTCTTTTTTTCCCCACACACTGGTTATAGGAGCAAGAGGATGAGCTGCATTATTTAACTGGAAATGAAAAAGAATCTCATAGTAAAACATACTAAATTTCAATTTCCTAAAAGATCAGAAAAAAAAGAGAGACACATACAGGAAGCCAACAGAGAAGAAGAAAGACAGAACTTTTAACCTAATTTTAAAATCCCTGATTTACCCTACTCTTATTATAAAAGTTCAAATATTGTTAAATACATTTTTTTTTTTAATTAAAAATTGTTTACTTTCTTTTATAGAGATGAGGTCTCACTATGTTGCCCAGGCTAGTCTTGAAACCCTGGGCTCAAGCGATCCTCCCGCCTCAGCCTCCCAAAGTGCTCAGATTACAGGCATGAGCTAATGAGGCATGAGTGCTCAGCCAACATATTCTAATTAGTTTAAAAATAAATGTTAGTCTTATATTTGAAAAAATATAAATAGCCTTAAAGGAAATTTATTAACTTAGACCAGGGCTCTCAACCAGAAGTAGTTCACTATTTTGGATCAGCTGGGTTTTGAAAAATATTTTATTTTTGATAGGCTTATCTACACTAGAAAGATATAATCTTCAGAAATAAAGGAATTAAATGGAGTAAAACACTAGTTAAAATAAGAGTTTAAAATGCAAGAAGGGTGGCTCAAGCCTGTAATCCCAGCACTTTGGGAGGCCAAGACGGGTGGATCATGAGGTCAGGAGATCGAGACCATCCTGGCTAACACAGTGAAACCCCGTCTCTACTAAAAAATACAAAAAACTAGCCGGACGAGGCGGCGGGCGCCTGTAGTCCCAGCTACTCGGGAGGCTGAGGCAGGAGAATGGCGTGAACCCAGGAGGCGGAGCTTGCAGCGAGCTGAGATCCAGCCACTGCACTCCAGCCTGGGTAAGAGAGCGAGACTCTGCCTCAAAAAAATAAAAAATAAAAAAAAATAAAATAAAATGCAAGAAGGAATAAAATATAGATGATAAAATAAAATTGTAGAAAATAAAATGTGTTCTCACCTGTCCATCCATCACTCCCAACAAAGCAGATTCCATCCACTGTACAGGTTCAATGAAATAAGATGTACATTGAGCCTGTCTCCCTGTGGTAAGCATGAAAGATGGTGTCATTCTCTTGTGTGCAAAGGCTATAGGTCCACTTCCTTCATGGTGATCCAGAATACTAGAACTTCGAAATAATGATCGCCTGCAACCCCCAAACAAACAAAAACATTAATGACTTCCAAAAGGATGAAAACATGGATTAAATGTGCAGTATTTCTTTTTTGTTTGTTTGTTTGTTTGAGACAGAGTCTCACTCTGTCGCCCATGCTGGAGTGCAGTGGTGTGATCACGGCTCACTGCAACCTCCCCCTCCTGGGTTCAACTGATTCTCCCGCCTCAGCCTCCTGAGTAGCTGGGATTACAGCCACCTGCCACCATGGCCAGCTAATTTTTGTAGTTTTAATAGACACGGGGTTTCACCACTTTTTTTTTTTTTTTCAGACTGAGTCTCGCTCTGTCGCCCAGGCTGGAGTGCAGTGGCGCAATCTCAGCTCACTGCAAGCTCCCCCTCCTGGGTTCACACCATTCTCCTGCCTCAGCCTCCCCAGTAGCTGGGACTACAGGTGCTGGCCACCACGCCCGGCCAATTTTTTTGTATTTTTAGTAGAGAGGGGGTTTCACCGTGTTAGCCAGGATGGTCTCGATCTCCTGACCTTGTGATCCGCCCGCCTCGGCCTCCCAAAGTGCTGGGATTACAGGCGTGAGCCACCGCGTCTGGCTGGGGTTTCACCACTTTGGCCAGGCTGGTCTCAAACTCCTGACCTCAGGTGATCTGCCTGCCTGGGCCTCCCAAAGTGCTGGTATTACAGACATGAGCCACCGCACCCAGCAATATGTACGATATTGCTTAGAGGACAAAATAATGTAACACTGATTATGCTACTTAAATTTTCAATAACCCTTACAATCTGATTATTTCTCTTTTTAAGAATTTATATTCTTCCTGAAAACAGATCTGAACTAAAAATTTCTATATTCTTCAATTAAACAAAATCTTCCTACAGAAATTTAAGAAAATAAAACTTTAGCTACTTTTCAGTTACTGAGAAGATAAAATATCCAAAGGATACAAAATATTTTACCTGCACTTTCTACACTTGTAGAGAACCTCATCTTTCAATCCTTGTGAAACCGTGGTTGGGTCAACAGCAAAGAGTTCTTGAGGTAAATTCTGCAATTCTATATGATATAACTAAAATGTATTTATTTGTCAAAATCAACTGCATTTTCAGATAAATTCAGTTAATGTCAAATTGAGGCAAGAAGTGCTAACCTCAGAAATTAAAATAAAATTTAAAAAAATCAAATTCCAGTGTTGAGAAATCAGGCTAAGGTAGGAGAGGACAGTGATTTAAGTACTTAGGTTCTGGGCACAGGCTGACCGAGTTCAAATCCCGACCCTGCCATTTATAAACCATGTGATTTTGAGTAAGTTATTTCTGGCTAAATCAGTTTCAAAAAGAAACAATAGTTTCTCGGGGATTGCTGGAAGTGAGGTAATGCATGCAACGCCAAAAGTAAATGACATTTAGAAAGTCCATTACACACTAGTGATTATTACTTACCTGGATACTTCTCTGTAACCTTTTGTAAACGATATTGCTTATAAATTGCACTAGAGGTATCCACTTCATATCCCATTGCCTGGTATAATTTCAGTTGCCACTCAAACCCCTCATTCATCCTGTAATGATAAAGATATACAAAGTTTCATTTTCTTAAAATAACATCACAAAAGCAGAATTACTACTATAAAAAAAAGAACCCACTTGGCCTCTGGTTTGAGAATCTGGAGCTTTTCATAGGCTTTTTCAAAGGGAAGTAGGTCAGTCTTCATGAGAAAAGCAGTTATTATGGCCACACTTCGACTGACTCCTGCGTGACTGAAAAAGAGACCTTTAAAATAAAACAGCAAATAGCAACAATTAAAAACAAACACACAAAACCCAGCCCCCTATTAATAGTAAAGTTTAGGCCCACTTCATTTCCACTTCTCAGATAAGCCCATTGCCTTTGAAATATTATCAGGTACAAAAGAATTATTCCTTTTTCCTTTTGAATTCTGAACCATGTGACTGTATTACCTATACAAAAATAATAACAGTAATTTTAAAAATTTTTATAATGGCTCAGAACAAATCCAAACTCCTGGCTAGACACAGTGGCTTACTTACCCCTGAAATCCCAGCACTTTGGGAGGCCGAGGTACGGGATTGCTTGAGCCCAGGAGTTGGAGACCAGCCTGGGCAACAAAGTGAGACCCCACCTCTACAAAAAATTAGCCGGATGTGGTGGCGCGTGCCTGTAGTCCCAGCTACTCTGGAGGCTGAGGCGGGAGGATCACTTGAGCCTGGGAGGTTGAAACTGCAGTGAACCGTAATTACGCTACTACACTGCAGCCTGGGTGACAGAGCAAGACTCTATCTCAAAATAAAAATAAATAAAACAAAACAAAAACAAATCCAATCTCCTTTCATCTTAGCATTCAGGGACCTCAAAATCTGGTCCCAGACTTCTTTCGATTCTATCACTATCTTCTGTCTTTTATGTGCTCAATAAATTTAAACTATTGTTATTATACTCCAATCCAACCAAGAACTGCTTAGGGATTCCCACTTTCTTTTCTTTTCTTTTCTTTTTTTTTTTTTTTTTTGAGATGGAGTCTTGCTCTGTTGCCCAGGCTGGAGTGCTGTGGCACAACCTCGGCTCCCTGCAACCTCTGCCTCCCAGGTTCAAAGTGATTCTCCTGCCTCCGCCTCCCGAGTAGCTGAGACTACAGGCGAGCGCCACCACGCCCGGCTAATTTTTGTATTTTTGGTAGAGACGTGGTTTCACCATATTGGCCAGGCTGGTCTGGAACTCCTGACCTCGTGATCCGCCTGCCTCCCAAAGTGCTGGGACTACAGGCGTGAGCCACCGCGCCCTGCCGGGATTCCCATTTTTTTTTTTTTGTCTTTGCTGCAACTATCTCCTCCCTAGGTAAAGCCCAGGGATCCTTTAGATCCAAACCAATTCTCCTCTTCATCAACCACCCCCTACCCATCCCAAACAAAAACATGGAACCCTAAATCTTTGTAAATCCTGTTTACAAGACACCAAGCAACCTAATCTGCATTACAATCATCAGGGTGGGTGTCTAGCTTCTCCAACAGAGCTGTAAACTCCTTGGGGCGTAGGTAATTTGTCATTTATCGGATGACACCTCCCCCGCCCTCTGTTGCTGCAGGAAGAACCAACTAAAGCATGAATGAATGAAAGCCTGCACACACCAGGGGCCCGCCTCCAGCCTCCTCCTCTCTTGGATACACGCCTCCTGCGGGAGGTAGCTGGAGGAGGTTCACGCGGCATGACCGCGCTCTCGTCCTCCCGAGGGCCTCGGAAGGAAAGGGGTGCTTGGCGGGGCACGTCGCCCACTGACCCGGCCACTCACCAGTGCACCAACACCGCACGGCCCTCAGCGCGGGCCTGACCGATGAAGGCCACGCACCGGTCCAGATGGCTGAGCAGATCGGTCTCGGGTTTGTCCAGCGCTGGCACGAAGAGGCGCCACAGACCCTCGACCCCAGGCCCCGCCTTGAAGCTGGGCTCCTCCGAGTCCACCGTTAGCACGGCCGTGATGCCCGCTTCCCTCAAGTGGTCTGGCTCCGCGACGGCCGCGACCCCACCGAGATACAGTCCTGGCTGCACTTCCAGCATCTGCCCGACGCAGGTGGCTCTGCTGGCACTGGGGTTGCAAGGCTCGCAGCCATGACTCGGGCCCGGAGCCTCCAACATGGCCGCGCCCAGACACCAGGCGGCTCCTGCCCTACCATCGAGTAGGCTCCGGCTAGAACATCCTTCCCCTGGGACTCGCCAGCCTCAGCGGCTCAGCTGCTCCCTTGGAGGACCACGTTGGCCGCAGGAAAATGGACTTATCGCTAAGGGGCGGAGCTTCGGCCCCATTCAGCGCCGCCTTTCGTCCCCTGTTCCCTCTGACCCCCACCCCAAAGTTGGTGGTAAAGGATAAGCTTCCCCAAATACAGGGTTTCTCTGGCTTTTAATATTGAAATTTTCAGGAGAGAGACATCAGGAGCAGCTGAACTCAAATGTGAAATAAAGGTCGCGCCAGCTGAATCAGAAGTGTCATTTTATGCATTTGAAATACAATTATTTTCAGTATTATAAAGCCATCTGTACTTTGCATCTTATGATTATTTTTCCTTTTTCTGCCCAATTTCATTATTGGTGTGTGAATCCTTGTTGATGTTTACTGTCTATTTATTTTGAAGATGTTAATCCTATATTTTTGTAAGTCAATGTCCTCCAGCCAGGACTACCCGAAACCAACTTTAATTAAGCAAGTTGGTTTTATTACTCAGTCATGAGCTATGGAGAGTTTCAGGGCATCTCAGCACGAGGATGTTAGGAAGATCCTATACAGATTTTGGGCTTTTATTTGGGGATTTTTGAAAGGGTTTAAGGAAGCCGGCTTTGCTCCAGATTGAATGCTGCAGGAAGATACTCAGTACTATGAGTATCTTTTATTTATCTCTTGTATAGGGAGGACTATTGGGGGAAATTCAGCCCCCAATATTTCACGTAGGTTCTTTTCTATTTTCCCTAAGTGTCAGCTGGTCTGAGAAATAAAGGGAAAGAGTACAAAAGAGAGAAATTTTAAAGCTCGGTGTCTAGGGGAGACATCACATGTCAGCAGGTTCCATCATGCCCCGTGAGCCACAAAACCAGCAAGTTTTTATTAGCAATTTTCAAAAGAGAGGGAGTGCACAAATCGAGTGTGGGTCACAGAGATCACATGCTTCAAGGGTGACAAAAGATCACAAGGCAGGAGGTCAGGGTGAGATCACAAAGTCAGAGTGAAACTAGAATCACTAATGAACTTCCATGTCCAGCTGTGCACACATTGTCATGGATAAACAAGGTTCAAGAGCAGAGAACTGGTCTGACTAGAATTTGCCAGGCTGGAATTTCCTAATCCTAGCAAGCCTGGGGGCACTGCAGAAGACTAGGGCGTGTTTCATCCCTATCTACATCTGCATAAGACAGACACCCCCAGAGCAGCCATTTTAGAGGCCTCCTCTGGGAATGCATTCTTTTCCCAGGGCTGTTAATTATTAATATTCCTTACTAGGGAAATAATTCAGTGATATTTATCTTGCCCGTTTTCAGTAATGAGAGAAATATGGCTCTGTCCTACCTGCCTACTGGCAGCCAGACTTTAAGGTTATCTCCCTTGTTCTCTGAAAATCGCTGTTATCCTGTTCTTAAGGTGCCGGATTTCATATTGTTCAAATACACATGGTCTACAAACAATTTGTGCAGTTAACGCAATTATCACAGGGTCCTGAGGTGACAGTCATCCTCAGCTTACAAAGATGACGGGATTAAGAGATTAAAATAGAGACAGGCATAGGAAATCACAAGAGTACTGATTGGGGAAGGGATAAATGTCCATGAAATCTTCACAATTTATGTTCTTCTGCCATGGCTTCAACTGGTCCATCCATTCAGGGTCCCTGACTTCCCACAACAGAGGACAGGCGAGAGAGATACTAAAGTTGTAATTGGTCAAGACGTAGAAGTTATAATGCTGGTATAAAGATAGATACATTGATCTGTCTCTGTTCTAGAACAGAACAAACCCTTGCATGTGGAGTCCTAATTAGGGAAAAGGAGTCAGGCTGGCTGGACGAAGGGAAGCAAAAGGAGAAAGCAGATAAGCCACAAGTCTGCCTTTCTTCATGGTCCAGGACACACAGCCCTGCTGTGCAAATAACTCAAAATCTGCCTGAGCCCAGCCATCACCAGACCCGTAGCTGATAGAAAAATGGAAGTTAGTTCACTGCAACCTTGACATTATTAGTACTGCACAAAGCCCTCTTCTGCACACAACATAAGCACCATTCTACAAAATCCCCAGCAAGCCTTTGTTTCCTAGCAGTTAACTTCTCTCTTGCTGACCTGCCTATTGTACCCTTGCAATGTATTTTCATACTTTCTCTAATAAACCTGTCTTTCTTTACCTACAACTGTGTTGGTAAATTCTTCCTACCACCTGTGTCACCAGCCCAGAAAGTTGTTGATCACCTGCCACATTGCATATATGTTAGAATAATCTTCAAAAAGAGTGTCAAGACCACACAATGGAAAAAGGACAATCTCCTCAACAGTGTTGGCAAAAACTAGATATCCACATGCAAAAGAATGAAGGTGGACCCTTACCTTGGACCATATACAAAAAATAACTCAAATAGATTAAGGACCTAAAAATATAACATTCTTAGTAGAAAACATATGGGGAAAGCTTCATGGCCTTGGATTTGAAAAAAAATTTAAAACAGGTAAGGGTCAATGGTCTCATTGTCTAACGTGTTATCCGAACTTGTTGTCTCATGACTGAGAAAATTAAGGAGCGTGGGCACAAAGAGTGAGGTTGAAGCAAAAGTTTAATAAGCAAAAGAAGAAAGCTCTCCACAGCAGAGAGGGGAGCCCAAGTGGGGTGCCATTTTTACAGTTGAATTCAAAACATGTTATAAGAAACTCCTCTCATCTCTATAGCTGTTTGAGTAACTTCTCTTATTAATAAAGCTGTCTGTGCAACTTCTTTTATCTTCTACAGATGTGGGTATGTCTCTAGGCAAGCACAAAGCATGGCTTCTCTTGTTTGTATCACTGTGGGTTTGTTTTAGGTAAGGCCGCGTCCTCCTTGTGCAAGTTCCCACAGAGTCCACTATGTATATGCCTGAAAAGGGGAGGAAAGTTTTTCCTGGGAGCTGGCCAATTACACGAAGAATGGAAGGCATCCATGCTGGACCCTGCCTGCTTATCTATGCAGGTACAGCCTGAGTTTTGCCTAAGCTGCTCTATTTTGCTTGTAGCTGTGATTTTTCAGGCAGGCTGCTTCTCCAAGGGCTGGCCTTAGCTGTCTACCTAACTGATTGTTCCTTTCCTTCTCCCTCAATTTCTTGGATAAAATACCAAAATCACAGGCAACAAAAGTGAAAATAGACAAATGGGACTATATCAAACTTTAAAATGTCAGCATATCAAGAGAAACAGTCAATAGAGTGAAAAGGCAGTGTATGGAATGGGAAAAAATAATTGCAAAGCATATATCTGACAGGTTAATATGCAGAACATATAAAAAAAACTCCTACAACTTGACGACAGAAAAACAAGTAACCCAATTTTCAAAAAACTGGGCAAACGAACTGAATAGACATTCTTCCAAAGAAGATATACAAGAGGCCAAAAAGCATAGGAAAAAGACGCTCAAGTTGCTAATTATTAGAGAAATGCAAATCAAAACTATAATGATATATCATCTTATACCCATTAGGATGGCTGGTATTTTTTTCAAGCACAGAAAATAAGTGTTGGCAAGAATGTGGAAAAATTGGAACCATTGTGCATTACTGAAGGGAATGTAAAATGGTGCAACCACTAGGGAAAACATTATGGAGTTTCCTCAAAAGATTAAAAATAGAATGACCACATGATCCAGCTTCTAGGTTACATAGCCAAAAGAATTGAAAGTGTGATCTCAAAGATATTTGCACACCCATATTTATGGCAACATTATTCATAATAGCAAAAAGGTAAAAGTAACCCAAGTGTCCATCATGGATTAATGGATAAAGAAAATGTGGTAGGGGCCGGCCACAGTGGCTCATGCCTGTAATCCCAGCACTTTGGGAGGCCAAGGCAGGTGGATCATCTGAGGCCAGGAATTCAAGACCAGCTTGGCCAACATGGCGAAACCCTATCTCTACTAAAAATATAAAAATCAGCTGGGCGTGGTGGTGGGCACCTATAATCCTAGGTACTCGGGAGGCTGAGGCAGGAGACTCACTTGAACCAGGGAGATGGAGGTTGCAGTGAGCCAAGATCATGCCACTGCACTCCAGCCTAGGGGATAGAGCAAAACTCTGTCTCCAAAAATGAAAGAAAGAAAGAAAGAAAAAATATGGTATATACACATGATGAAATATTATTCAGCCATAAAAAAGAGGGAAATTCTGTCACATGCTACAACATAGATTATCTTTGAGGTCAGGTGCGGTGGCTCATGCCTGTAATCCCAGCACTTTGTGGGGCTGAGGCTGGCAGATGACCTGAGGTCAGGATTTTGAGACCAGCCTTGCCAACATGGCAAAAACCTGTCTCTACAAAAAAAAGAAAAAGAAAAAGAAAAAGAAAAAAAGGCCGGACACGGTGGCTCAACCTGTAATCCCAGCACTTTGGGAGGCTGAGGCGGGTGGATCACCTGAGGTCCGGAGTTCAAGACCAACCTGGCCAACATGGTGAAACCCCATGTCTACTAAAAATACAAAAATTAGCCAGGCATGGTGGCAGGTGCCTGTAATCGCAGCTACTTGGGAGGGTGAAGCAGGAGAATTGCTTGAACCAGTTTGAACTCATGCCACTGCACTCTAGCCTAGGCAACAGACTGAGACTCTGTCTCAAAAAAACAAAAACAAAAACAAAAAAATTAGCTGGGCATGGTGGTGCATGCCTATAATCCAGCTACTCAGGAGGCTGAGGCAGGAGAATCCCTTGAACCTGGGAGGTGGAGGTTGCGGTGAGCCAAGATCGCATCACTGCACTCCAGCCTGGGTGACAGAGCGAGATTCCATCTCAACAACAATAAAAACTTTGAGGACATTATGCTAAGTAAAATAAGGCACAAGTGTAGATGCTGAGGATATAAAGATGTGTGACAGTCTTTGCCCTCAAGGAACTTGGTGAAATGCTGGAGTGAAAGTAAGTAAATAGCCTAATTAGTGTTATAGTAGAGGCAAGGA